AGCTAGTGAGTCATTCGAGTAGGCTATGGAGGCTCGTGGGATTGGGTAACTAGACGGTTGTAGGGCTGATGCTCGACAGAGTTCAGGGATCTGATAAAGTGGGTTTGTCATTTCAGCGCTAGGCACGGTAGAAGTGGAATTTGTTATGGCAACAAGAGGCGATGTTGCTAAGCTGGATGAAGCCACGAGCGACTCGGCCGTGTACATGTGAGAGTGATTGGCGTAAATCTGAGAGAGGTTGCATCCAGCTTTGCCGTTTAATGAACCTGCGTTCTCCCAGGCATGCTCGAAATGGTCCAAATGATGCACCACAAGAGCATGCGTCGCTCCATCGCACCTCTCCGGCGCCATAGATACTGCTGCATCTGCCTGACGGTCTAACCGCGAAGGAGAGGCTGTGGCTAGCTGTTGAGCCTCTTCTTCGTCGCTCATTGCGTCCATCCTGACTGTTGTAGCGGGCGAGAAGGAATGGGGCGGCTGGCGAGAAATGTGAAAGACTTGATGCTCCGACTGGCTGTTTTTGTCAGCATCCTGTCCGTCCACACACTTCTCGTCAATCACATGCTCCTTGTGGCCCAGCCGGAGAGGACTGGCGGTGCATCCACGAGGGAGTATGTGATATGAGTTGGTCGTTTCGTCCGAGCCGAAGGGGTCAGTGTAGGCGGCATCATTCGTGGGCGAAGGGTTGTGGAAAAGCACATTTCTGCTTGCAGTAGCGCTGTCGACGCTGTAATTCGCGTGACTGGCAGGCTTTTGACTGGACGAGTCCACATCACAAAAGGAGCTTGTCGACATTGTGGGATTAAGTCCACAGAGTGGAAGCACATTGGAGCTTAGCTGGGGCAGACTGGATGGAGTCATTTGCGGTGAGTAGAAGGTTGAAACAACAGGCATACTTATCTGTACACGAGTTTACATGAAACTGTCACGAGCTCAAATTCTGTCTCCTTCACCAGTTAGTACCATGTACCACGGGACCGGAGTGTATCAACATAAATCCACAACAAATGAGAGTCAGCAGAATACAAGTGAGACGGCAGCAGAAAGGGATACATTGGAGAAAGCAACTGGTTGTGCAAATAGGCACTGTGGCCCTTCAGCTTGGTCGCAATGGCTACTGGAGCAGGTTTTGACCAATTAGCGTTAGGCAACGAAACCAGCCACTGACCGTCAGCCAATTGTTGCCTAGCCTTGCATACGGCCGCACAGGACTGAAATTTGATTGGACAATCGGACAGACAGAAATGTGGATTTTCAAAATTGCTGCCATCGCTTTTCCGGGACAGTCTGGCGCTATAATTATGTTTTGTCCTATTAGCTGATTGGTGGCCGATTTGCGCTGATCACTACACTAAAATACCCATCCAGTAATGCAAAAGATGGAAACAGGTGAGTAGACAATCTACGAATCAAGTGAGCAAGCAGCAAGGCTCTAAATGGCCAAGTTATAAGCCTCCCTGGCTGGGAATGAAGGAGAGATGGACAAATATTTGGCTAATGCAATCCGAATCTGGACTAGTCTGATGGGATTGTATCGTTGGCAGAGCAAATCTTTGTCGACATTTTGTCCAGTATTATTTGGGTTATTTTGCTATTTTGTTTGCTAATTTCCAGCTGATCAATCTGGACTGATTTATTATTAATTCATTGTATGGAGAATAAACTATACATACCTCTGCGATAAAGTAGATTAAACATGTGGAGTGGACAACCTTATCGGTGGTCGTGGAGTCTACAAATGCGACCAATGTATCGCCAAACTACCATAGCACCACTATTTAATGACAACTTTATCCTTTAACAGTTTATGCAACTCGTTAATTTTCTTATTTATAGCTTGTCTATATCGCAAATAATTGAATGCTAATACAGGATTTAATTCATGTTTATAAGTACATTTTAGTTAAACAAACTCAATCAGTGCTCATTTCAATCATGAACAATTCGTCTAATAATTTCCATTTCATTTTTTATAATGGCTGACATCATGTGGAGTCATATATGGTGAATTGAGTAGAATTCTCTGAATTCAATAGAAGTTGTTTGACCTTGTTTTCGCAACTCGGTCATATTGGTAGGAAGACTTAAAGAAACGCAC